CCGCTCCTCCCCTCCGTGCTGATTGGGCAGGAGTCTGGGTTCTAGGACTCGGGGCGGCGAACTGGGGCTCCGCGCCCAGGCGGGGGACCGAGAAGCAGAGGGAGGTGGTGGCCTCACTCCACCCCTAGTCTAGTTCCTGGTGGAGTCCCTGCAAGGGAGGCTGGGGAGGCCCTAGGGTACTGAGGAACGCCCACTCCCTCTCCTAAAGTTTAGCCACCACCTCTTCTCACCACCATCCCTCTAGCCTACTCTCCCTCCCCGCTCTCCTTCGTCCCTAGGGAAGCGCAGCCTCCCGACTCTGCCTGGTTCAGCTGGATCAATAACCAAAGTGCGCGAGGAAGCGACCCGGCGAGACCGAGCAGAGAACTGGAGGTTGGCTTTGCTCGGGTGCTGGGCAGGGTGGCGTGGGGGACCACGGGCGGGGGCGCAGGCCTGGGGTTCATTGCGCCTCCCCCTCCAGATTCACACCAGAGTCATGAACACAGTTCATGGCCTTCCTGGGAAAATAAGACCAAGAGTGGGTAAATGAGCCTGGGAGAGTGAGGCAGAGAGCCCCTGGGAGACAGAAAACAGATGGGCAGACAAGACCACAGGATCCAAGAGCCAAGAGGGTCCAGAGCCAGGTCAAGACCTAGGAGGCCCCAAACACTAGATCAGCTGCAGCTATGAAGCCTGCCCCACAGGGGACTACACCCCTGGACAGAGCTCCCAGGTGGGGATTTTCTTGTGTTTCCCTCAGCAGAGCTCCGTGCTCTGTCCCAGATCCCCTTTCTGAGCTGCAGAGAAGCAAAAGTTTGACTATGAGGCTCTGGGTAGGGGATGGATCCCTGGACAAAGTGCTTGGTCCTTCTAGATGGCCCAGTCCCAGCCCCAGCACTTTCAGGAGAAACCAGTGTTCACCCAAATCTTCCAGGAGGGGCCAGGCCCAGATTTCCCTTCCTTTGCCTTAGAAAGGGGCTTGGAAGAAAGACTAAGGGTGAAGATAGTGTGCAAATGTGTGAGTGTGCCAGAGGGCCTATAGCACTTCCCTAAAGTGCTACAGCGGCATGTTCTCCTTTTCTGACCTGCTGGGGTGAGCCAGGTCCTAGGCTAGGGAGGTGCTTTGGTCTGTCTGAGGGTCTGGTTGTAGATGACTGTGAGAGCTGCCTTGGGTATGCCAATTTAAGTGACAGTGGCAGGGCTAGTGTGTCCCTGGTGCAGCCTCCACGACGTGTAATCAGGTGAACATGTATATGAGCATGCACCTGTGTCTTCGTGCATGCCCAGAGTTTGTGAGCATGGATGGGTGTCTGTACTGTTCAACCCCAGATGGCCCCAGCCTAGGGTGAGTTTGATGGGAGCATACCAAGTACTTACTTGGGTGACCAAGAATGCCTCAGCTCAGAGTTTAGGCAGAATAAGGAGAGGGTAAAGAGGGTGGGAGAGGAAGCCAGCTGGTCAGTACTAACAGGTAGCCCAGAAGGAAAGGAGGGAAGGAAAAAGGAAGGAGAGGAGGTGGGGAGGGAGGGAGGAAGCACAAGTAGAAACAGAGTGATTCAGGTGGCTGGTGGGAAAGGTGGAATTGCTGACAGAGTATAGGCCAGCCTGGGCAGAGGACTGGCAGTGAGGATGAACTGTGAGTGCTCAGAGTCCAGGTCCCTAAAGTACTGGCTGTTTGGAGAGAGAGAGAGAGTGTGTGCGTGTGTGTGTGTGTGTGTGTGTGTGTGTGTGTGTGTGTATATGTGTGTGTGTGTGTGTGTATGATTAGGGGGGAGGAGAAAGAGAGATGGTTTATTGGAGGGCCCTGGGGAAAGTGTGCCCCAGCAGATCAGCTCTGCTGAAGGCATTCCCCACCTCATATGTGCTGTGCACCCTGAGTTCCAGCCCTACTTAGCCTGGCCCTGGAGGAGCAACCAGACCCCTCAGTGACCCCCCACTCAGGCCTTCTCTCTCCTCCCAGCGCAGTTTAGGATGGTCACCTTGCATGCTTTGTCACCTCCGTTTCACACTTTAGGTTTTCTCCTCTCTGATTCCCTCAAGTTTATTTTTATTATTCAAGTAAGATGCCTTTAGAATGGAAAAATGATAAGCAGCAGGTGGCATGGTGGTTGGAGTGTTGGACTCCCACATGGTAGACTCTGGTTCAGGTCCAGATCTGGAAGCTTTCTCTCTCTCTCTCTCTCTGGTGAGTGCACATGCCCTATAGCAAATTAAAATGATAATAATACATTTTTAAAGAAAAAATATAATCGGAAAGTAAGCACACTGTTCCATCCTCTTCCTTACCCAGCTGGTGCAGTTCTGTGTATCCCACACCAGGCCCGGGTGTGCAAATAAAAATGAATAGCACTGAACCCTGCCGGGCTTAGTTTTCATCGTTTTTATTTTTCATCTTGTGAATGGCATCTTCCCGTGCCCTTACTCAGGTCTCCTCCCAGCGTCCTCTTCTGGGGTCCATGGATGGGCAAGCGCACCCATGAGCTGGGCTATTCTCCGGAAGAGGTTGGTGGTGTCCCATAGAGTCCTGCGGAGCCAGGATGCAGGAGGTCAGGACGCTCCCTCTTCTCTGACTGCCTGGGGAGCCCCGCAGGGCAGCCCCTTACTGACTTCGGTGTTCGCTCTTTCCTATTCTCGGGCACCCTTCATTATTCAGTTCTCACATCTCTCTTGGCAGTATAGGATTTGGCCTCCCTAAGATGTCCTGGCTCATTTTTTCTGCAGGCCTAGGAAAGGCACCCAGCCTCCGTGCTCGCGCGCATGGCGGATCCAGTAGGAAAAGCAGCGTTTCTGCGCACAGAAGCCACCAGAGTGTGCTTGGGGTACCGGGGAAAAGAACTGGGTCTCCTCTCCAAGCCCGGATTCTGGCCCAGCTGAGACCCCTTACAGGCCTAGCTGGGAGTCTGGGCAGCCGCTTGAATCCAACCTCTCCGAACAGCAAACCGATTCGGATCGGCCCCTCTCTCTCTCTCTCTCTCACACACACACACACACACACACACACACACACACACACACACACACACACAGTTCTTCCCTAGGCACGCGGCCTGGTGGTCCAGTTTTCTAGGCTAGACGCGAGTCGTTCGGGGCTGTTGGGTTCCTTCCCGAGACCCTTCCTGCGCGAAGACCGACTTCTGCTGCTCTCCTTCCCTCCCGCCCTGGTAAGGAAAACTGGGTGCACCTGCCTTGGTACCGCCACGAAGTGAGTGTCTGTGTGTGGGAGGGAGGGGGAGGCACACGCTAGGGCGCTTACTGGCTCTGGGGGCCTCTCCTGCCCAAGAGAAGAGGGACGCAGAGCTGGAGACGTCTGAGGTCTGAGTCCGCCTTGTAGGAAATCCCTGGGAAAGGGTTTCCTGCCAGAGCTCAGATCGGAGAGCCAGTGTCCTGTTTCTGCCGCTCTCACCTTTACAGCCAGTGCCCATGGCCGCCTTGGCTGCCTCGCTATCATCCAAACTAAGACCCCAGGGACCCCAGGGACCCCAAGAACTTCCTCAGCCTCTCCAGAGAGCAGCACCTTCACTCCCAGCTTTCTCAGAAGCCCCTTAGAACTGGACTTCCCCTGGGATTGCTCCAGGATCAGCCTGAGTGCTGCCTCGTTATCATCCAAACTAAGACCCCAGGGACCCCAAGAACTTCCTCAGCCTCTCCAGAGAGCAGCACCTTCACTCCCAGCTTTCTCAGAAGCCCCTTAGAACTGGACTTCCCCTGGGATTGCTCCAGGATCAGCCTGAGTTGGGGGAAGAGGCTGTCCTCTCTGGCCTCGCCTTGCTCTGTGCCACCCACCACCCTCCAATTTCTGCTATAATTTTGGGGTGTGGACCTGTTCTGGTCATTCTCCAGAGACCCTCCAGACCCCCTCCACTGCCTTCTCCATGCCCTTTGATCGCTCAGTCGTGGGATGAACTTCCCGACCCTGGCGACCTCCTTCCATGGCCAGAGCTGTTATCCAGGGTCAGAAATGTGAGTCCAGTCTGGGCACTAGGGGAGCAGACATGTGTGCTTTGGTGGGAGTCTTAGCAGGAGACATCCAGTACCTCTCTGAGCCCTCCAGCCATGCAATGCCAGCACTCCTGTGTACCACTGGTGCTTCATCATCCCTGTCAGGAGCTCAGACCCGTGTCTGGCCTTCCACATTTTCTGGATGCTCTGGCAGGTACACCAGGCTGACTTCCCAGAGCCTGGAGTCCTGCACCCAACTCAATCTGCTGCTTTGGGTGCTGCCTCCCTCTCTCTGTAGCGGGGGCCAGGCCTCCCTCCTGCAGATGCTTGCTGGCATGGGTTGGTCTGCCCTGTGTAGGGTGCTTTCCCAGACTCCCACCTTTTTCGTCATCCCCATCCTCCTCTGACTCCGCTGCTCTGCTCTCCTCCCCCCTCAGCCTGCATTTCTCATCAGTTGTAATCAGGCCTGGAAGTTCTGGAGGTCCAGGTTCCTCTGCCCTGCTCCACCCATTTCTGCCTGGGTGTCTCCTGCCTGCCCCTCATCTTGCTCATTTTGGAGTTCCACCCAAAGGTCCATAAGAGATCCTTGGCAGTACACCCCTCGTCCTTAAAGAATCCATTCCTCAGGCCTTTTGTCCTGTTCAGCTATCAAGGCTGGGAAATGGGCTTCCCCTGCAGTCCAAGGCTCTGGAAGCTTGGGGTGAGCATGGAGGGATGCTTCTCAGACCCAGCTTGGGGTCATAAGTGTGTCATCACCTTCAAAGGGTGACTTAATTTTAACAATGAGCATTACTCTTTTTGCAAAACATTAAACAATTACTTATTTCTGAAAAGAGTAGCAGTTCTGAAACTGAAGGAGGGCCGCTCCAATGGGAGACCGTAGACTCGTAGACTCGGGGTGGTGGGAGAAGTGCTGGGTCATGGTGAAGCTCGTGGAATTCCAGTGCAAGGCCTCTCCTGGGTCAATGGCTGCCTGCAGGCTCAGTCACTGACTCATTTCAGGCAACACAAGATGACAGATGCGTATCCGTGCTGGATGTCAGGGTTGCATTCCGGGGATTCTGCGGGAAGCAGAATTCTTGAGCTGCAGGCATGCCCACCATGAGGATTGGGGGGCAGGTATGAGAAACTGCCCTTGAGGCGGCAGCAGGGAACACAAGCTGGCTGGACTGAGGCTTCCTGGTCCAGGGTGAGATGCCAAAAAACTCCAGCCACTACACCACCTCTGGACCCACAACCTCTTCTATTGGCATTTACCTTCACTGGACTTGGTTCATGGGGGCCCCCAGTTCGCCTGTGTCTGGACATAGGCCAGTCTGCAAAAGAGGGCCACACTGGAGTGACCACTATTGAAAAATTGGACCTGATGAAGCTCTCCAGGTACCTAGCCACTGACAGATCGGACCTGATGAAGCTCTCCAGGTACCTAGCCAGGCAGGTATTGAGCGGCAACACCTGCCTTGGCTCAGGGCCAGAGAGGCCTCAGGAAGAAGACACACCGGAGTCTTCAACACCCACACATATTTAGAAATTGTTCGTGCTCAGGTGCAGACCACATGGCTTCCCAGTGGTTCTTAGTGGGCATCCATACATTTAAAAGGTTTCCAGGTTGAGAACCACAGAATTGGGACAAGAGATCAGGAATCAGACACTTTGCTGAAGCAAAGGCCTGAGGGTAGTTATGGGAAACGGAATGGTAGAGTTGGTCAGGGCTTTGGGTGGAGAAGAGGATGGTCTAGGAGGTAGGAGGGGACTTGGTGGGGGGGAGGAGGTTGGGGAGGGTGAATAGGCCTGGCTAGAAGAACACAGCTAGACTCAACCCTAGTTGTCCAATCTGACCTGAAAAACTGACCCCACCTACAGGACTCAGGATTCTTATGGTGAGAGGCTGCCAGGGTCCAGCGAGGAGGCTGGGCCAGAGCAGGGAAGGAGGTCCAGTGGGCAACCGAGGAACCAGTGGGTCCCTAAAATGGGGGAGGCATCAAGACTCCTGATTTTTTCTTCTTCTTCTTCATCTTCTTCAAAATTCCTCCCAAACTGTCTCTGCTTCCTAAATCCTCCTCCCTTGGTAGTTCTCCTTGAATCGTCCTCCTCCCCTCTCATCTGAAGATCGGGCCACCCCCTCCTCTCTTCCTCTGCTTTTCTATTCCTCCCTCCTCTCCACCTTCCTTTCCAGGGCTGCCCTATCCTTTCCATCTGGGCAAGCAGTTTCCTCTTGGACCCTACCTCATTGTCACCCTTCTCTGGCTCTTCCCCTTGCTCACTCTCTGATTGCCCCTCTTCTCTGCAGCGCGCTTTCTGCTAGGGCAGAAGTGCTCTCTTGTTTTCTTGTCTATTTCCAGAAAATTGCAGTCCCACCAGGCTTGCAGTTTGAGTGAATGAAGACACGCAAGAAATTTAAAAGACTCTTTTTCCAAATTTCCTCCTCCCTTAACAATCAAAATTCCTTCATTCCCACCATATTCTGATTTAATCTAAATCGCCGCCCCCCAAATCAGGTGACCCTTCACTTATTTTCAAGCAAGAGATATGCTGGTGAGGTGCTTGAAGCTCGGTGCAGACCTTCCTGAAAGAGTAGTATGACTATTTCGGGTGGGAACTCATTTGGCTGTCCTATTTTGCAGAGGAGAAAGCTGAAGCCAAGGTCACGCAGCTGGTTCGTGTTTATTCAAATCCAGATGTGGGGCCCAAGCCCCTGCTAAGACAAATATCTCTTTCCTTCTTTCTAACTTTACTCTGAGAGTGGGGCTCCCTTGTAGCCCAATTCCTGTCTTGGAACCGTGGTCCTGATGAGTCAAGTCTTGGGGAGGGGGCTCAGGAGGAGGCTTTCAGATGGAGGGCACTGCCCCGGTGGGGAGTTGGAGGAGTTGTAGCGGGGACCACAGTAAACCTGAACCGCAAGGACCCAGATGTTTTCAGAACAGAGCTTGGGTTTGTTGGGGCTGGGCGACATCCTCATCCTCGCATCCTAGAATTATGTGTGCGAGCATGTTGTTTTTTATTACTTTGATAGCAGCTTTATGGGATGTAATTCACCTCACCACCATTGGTTTTCAAATATTGTCACCCCCTCACTCACACACACACAAATCCTGGGCCAGCCAGTGGCATGATGGTTGAGGCGACTGGATCCCATATGGCCAACAGCACAGTTTGAGTCCTGGATCCAGCGGGTCTAGAAACGCTGGGCAAGTGTGTGTGTGTGTGTGTGTGTGTGTATGTGTGTGTGTGTACATGTGCCTGAGTGTAAAATCCTGAAGGGAGGGGAAAAAGGAGGAAAAGAGATTGCAGTGACCATTCCCCATGGGGGATACTTTCTCACTCTCTCATTCTGTCTCTCTCTGGTAAACACATGCACCCTCTGACAAAAATGTAAAGAAAGGAAGAAATGTGTATCCCCAACCTCCTGTCCCTCTTCAGCCCTAAGCAACCACCCTATGGGTTTGTTTATTTTGGTTACTTCATGTAGATGAATCACATAATATGGAGACTTTGTGCCTGGCTTCTTTCACTTAGCACAATGTTTCAAAGTTCCTTTATGTTGCATCCTGTTTCAGTACCATATTCCTTTGTGTGACTGAATAGTATTCTATTTATGGTTATACCACATTTCGTTTGTGCACTCATTACTGGTGAATATTTGAATTATTTTTGCTCTTCATAAACATGCCTCCCTCACTCAGAGTGGTTGGTCAGCAGCTTGGTTAGAAGGGGAAAGTTTTCTGGGAGCAGCTAGAGGTGTCCGGAGAGGTTTCAAGGAAATGCCATCTAACATCTGATAGCTTTTGTCCCCAGGTAAATGGTCACTTTCCAGAAGCTT